GTGCATTAATGCACACACATGATTTAATGTAAAACCACAAATTCACGTAACCTGTACGCGTGTTTCGTTACACTGTTACTGCTGACGAGTGTGCCAGTGCACGAGTAACCGTGGAAATGAAAAGTACGAGCACGACGCGAACCAACAACTCTAAAATTTCGTAACCATTAATAGGGCCCGGAGGTAATTGAAGAGTAATGATATTACCGACTATTTTTATCTAATACATAAAGTTGTTTTATCCGACATAAGTAGCCCATGTTCATTTCATATACGTTTCCTAAACGTGCATGAATCAGTGTTGCTAGACGGGACGCTTTTTTTCACGAACGCACTTGAGAATCGGCCTCAACGGTGTACTAATTGAGGAAAAAAAGGGCACTTGTAGACCCTTCTATTAAAAAATTATTAGAAAATTTTGTTTATCGTTAAAAAGTGATAAAAAGTAATAAAATAATAATAAATTAAACGCATGTAAATATTATGTTTATTTTTATAATAATAAAATAATTAATAATATTAATAAAAAATAAGCTAAAAAAGGAAAGAATGTTTAAATAATTGTTAATAACATTTTAATAACAATAAAATATTTTATTTGGCAGAATTATTTTCCCGCTTTGCAAGAACTTCTTTAATAATATTGGTGCACTTTGATCGAGCCAGTGAAAGATCTTGCACGATTGAAGAATCTATACAAATGTCTTTTAACAAAGGAACTAAGTGATCTGCGGTATAAAGAGCAACGTTATGTTCAGAATAAAAAGCTGCTAATTTAATTTTGGCTCGTTTAACGTTTTCAATATGAGAATTTTTGGAATGTTGGCTTTGGCTTTGACTTATTTGAGAATTACTGTCACAATTTTTAATATGTTTAGCCCTTTGTGAATGTCGTATTAAATCTGATTTACAGCATCTAATGGTAATATTGCACAAGTTACAAATTGCCTTATTTTCCGTAGGATGAGGAGCCAGCCATCCTTTAAATAAATCGTCAGCTAACCAAGAATTTTGAAAATTTTTAATATGCGTCTTTTTAATGGCTCCTTTTGAACTATCCATATTTCGCGTAACAAAAATACATAGAAATATATATATGATATAAATATTATTATTTTTTACATGTACTCACCTAACTTTCTCCTGTAGCCTGTCAAACGTCTAACTTTTCGCGCCAGCACCCAACACTATAAGCCGTATACACCACTGGATTCATAGCTGCAGCGCTGCGCATGCGCGAGAAAAAGCGTCCCGTCTAGCAACACTGGCTCCATGAACGGAGCTAGTAGCGTTAGCGTTGATAGCGCGGTAGCGAGCGCCCCGAACGCATCCAAAGAACAGACCTAATAGGGGAGAGAAGTTCGCAACATACTCCTAAAGCCTGTATCAGACTATGCATTGAAAATTGGAGATTGAAGATTAAAACTCATTACACAATGAAAAAATAAGAAATAAGAAATAGAGAATAAGGAATAAGATATTCTTATTACATATTTCTTACCTTTCCATTGTGCATTGAAAGGCAGTATCCGGTTTGTTGGATTCCATTATTTCATATTTTTTATTCCTTATTCCATGTTTCTTGTTTTTTATTCCTTATTTTTTTCATTGTGTAATGGGCTTAAGGGACAATTAGGAGCATTCTCTATTTGCCTCAGCTTCGAAGGAGACGCAAAACATATGTCCGCTTGCTTTTACAAACCGAAAGCCGAACGCATACGAACACGTGACGTCAGCGGGTCTCGGTTGGGTGCGTACGGAGCTCTCCGGGGAAAACTGGTAGCTCCGCCTCACTTCGCCTCTCAGGCTTCTGTCTGTCAAAGTCTTTGCCGCGAACGGAACGTTTGCTCTTCCTTAAGTTAAAAAAACGCGATCTCGAATGCACTCAGCCAGTCCGCGAGTTCGGAGTTCAAATGAACAAAGAAATTATATTGTCAACCGGATTCTATTTCTTTTCGTTCTGTCTTTCTGATCAATGTTTAAATAAATTTAGTGTGAACCTGATATCGAAGGTACGTCTACAAAATATATATTACTATGTTATACTTATGTATAAACAATGTGCATTATTAATATTATATAAAATACAAATATTTACAACAAAATATTTACAATTTTAATTAAAATTATTAAGATTCAGACGGTAAATATCAAATATAAAGAATGAGGAGCGAATGAGTCGATGCTTGGTGTTCGTGCTTATATGTGTATTTAAGAAATAAACAAAATAATATAAACAGACGTTTCTGCCTGTTCAAGAGTAACGTTAACATTTAACACACATTTTATAAATTATAATGTTAATAATTAACTAGAACAGACGAAAAAGAGTTAAAAGGAGAGTGATTGGTACAATTTACAAAGATGAAAGGTTTTAAAAGTACGCAATTTACAAACAAAACGCAATTACAAGCTTTAAGAAAATCAGACGCATTAAGGAGTCCTTGTTGACCTTTCCATCGTATATACAAATTGTATTGATCGTCCGACGTTGCTACGGCAAGGAGAGGGCAATGGGCGTCAGCCACCCCAAGTCACCCGAAAATCGAACCGAAAGCTGCTCCCATTTCCGTTTTAAATGATAACTAATAATAAAAAAAATGTTTCAAATTTTGTTTCATGTGCAAATTGTGTTCTAAATGCATCAGTCTTCATTTAGGAAAAGTGATAGAAATTGAATTCAAATACTGAATGAGTCTGATATATTTAATACTACCGTAAATAATTAATTTTTAAATTATTGTTTAACCAAGCATAGACATGTGAAATTATTTTCCATAAAATCAAGCTTGCTTCAGATGATTTATAATTTGCGACGAGATAAAAACTAATTTATTATGTTATTAATAGGAAACATTATTATTAATCTTAATAAAATTTCTTCTTTTCTCTTTTCTGAACAATTGTTTTGTTTGACCTGCGTCACTTTTTTTGTAGGTGTGCAGTATAATCTTGATTTATGAACAAAATATGGATAAAATATTATATAAAATATCATGTGGAAAGACAGATTTTGTGATCGCTGCATTGGGAGCTGCACACACAGCAGAGCAAGCACGTCTTGAACACACAGTGAATCGTGTTGAGAATCGGCCATTTTGGTCATCAAAATGGCAACACGAAAGAAGCTTAGCAATGTTACAACTGCTCTATTCTTTGATATTGTACTTACAACAGGCACTTACAACAGGAATAAAATCTACGATAACACATGCTCTAGCAACTTCCAAAATCAGAACAAAGTTTTAATGATGTGTCAGTTAAAGGTTTCGAAAGAATAGAAAATATCGAAAGAATAGAGAATAAAAAACATCGGAAAAAATACTGTGGCTATGAAAAATAGCCAGGAAGTTTTTGAAACGCACAACAAAAAGAGTTTTTTTAATCAAAAACGGAGAATTGATGACAAAATTGTAGCAAGTTTCACGAATGAATCTATTATTTCTAATGATGTAGAACATATAGAGGTAATTGGTAAAATTTATTACTTTCATAAAAAAATATTTTTTAAAGAAATTATTTGATATATTTAATGTATTGACAATAAAATTTGTATTTTTAACATAACATTTTAAATGAAATAATATGATTACTTTCGATTACTCAATTTTAATTAACAGTTGAAGTTACACTTGAATTTTTTAATTCCATGTGTGAATTATTGTCTGTATATTTAAGTTTAACTACATCGAAGATTCATAGCTTTCTTATAATATAAAAAATTTAGTAAATTAATAATTATTAAATTCGACTATCAACATATTATAAATGCAAATTTCAAAATAATTTTTTTAACAGATGAATCTGATATCAACCTTGATCAAAATAGAAGCCGACAGATTTCGAAAATTATGTTTCTGCCAGTTCTGTAGATGGGCATATCCGCCATAAATCCAAAAATAAAAAACTTATAAAAAAAGATTATTTAACCCAAATAGAATGATGTCCGACGACTCTTCTAACGATAGAACAGATGGTAAGTGAAATTTTAATTACAAATTAATTAGTTATATTGTGGGAAATTTTTAAATTAAAATTATCGAGTTATTAATCGAGTTGAATCGAGTTTAGTTCAAAGTTGCATCAAAAAGCTTTTTTATAATTAAATTATTATTTGAAGAAAACTCATCACAAACTATTATATCGTTATAATTGACTACAAAAATTATAACAATAAACTTTTTTACTAATAATGCTTAAATAATGTAATAAATGTTCAGCTATGTATCAAATTATAACATTACGGAGAAAAAATGCTTAACATATTAAAAAATATAAAAAATTGCAAAATTATAGGAAAAAATATAACTTTTTGTTATTTCTATTAGACAAAAAATTAATGTTTTAGTAAATATTTTGAAAACATTATTAGATTTTATTCAAAAAAGTCCCTTGACGTCAGACGCCGCGGAACCGGGGAGGGGGGGGGGGGGGCGAGGAGGGGGGCGAACCGGTCCACCCGAGGAGGGCTA